CCCCCCCACTCCGTCCAGTACATAAAGCTGCAAACACCAGAAAAACACGTTCAGGATCAGGGATAAAGAGAGATGTTCAGTAACGAAGTAGAACGACTTAAGTGCTGTACTTAAGTACCAAAATGCAGTATCTGTACTTTATTGGAGGATATATTTTCTCTACTTTTACTTTTACTCTACTACATATTTTTGATTGATTTAATACTCCTACTTTTACATTCACGGGCTAAACCGTTACTGATATGTAAATGTAATTAATCATCCCCAGTCATAGTGTCAGGGTTTGGGAAGCTGGCAATTAAAAAAAGCCTCCTGAAAGATTGCGAAATCATGGCCTTCAAAAATCCCCCCTCTAATCTGAAGAAGCATATCAATGTAAATTAAAAAATACAATGACATATAAGCTAGTAAATAAGCGCTAGTTCAGTTCTCCCTGTTCACTCAGGACGTAGCAGCTAACCTTAGCTAAAGCTAACCAAGCTGGCTAGCTGTATGCTACATGCTAGCATAAAGGCTCAGCTCAGGATTCTGACACTGGAATAATAAATAATAGTAGATGAAGTGCTGTTGGTTGCTAATGCAGATGTAGTTTTCTGTTTTTTGTAAACACCTGTATGGCCTTTCACACGTTTGAAATAATATAAACAATATCTATCAAACTTTTTACTGCCTTTTTTAAATATACACAGTACTTGTACTTTTACTTATACTTTTGATACTTGAGTAGCAAATCTTGAAATATTTCTACTTACAATACTTAAGTATAAAAAAATTGAGTACTTCCGTACTTCCACTTAACTCATTGACTGCCAGCCATTTTCAGAACAGAGAGTCCCATACTGCCAGAGTTTTTGGAGCATTTTGACTGATTTTTCAAGAGCCACAGAATAGTTTGTGCTATGACTATGTAAACACCGAACACATCAAAAGAAAGAGTAGACTCTCTTCTTTCATCAGGGAAAATCTTTTTGTTTCTACCTTATTCCGTTCTTCCTGGACTTGCGTCTCACCGGCGACATGTTCTCTCATAGCGAACCGTTACCTTTTTCTTATTTGCCTACAGTCTATGCTCATCTCCCATCAAAAGTGGCACTGCCCCCTAGAGGGTCAATTTGTTACTACATACTCTGTCTAGAAGCCGATATTTACAGACAAGCTTTAGCAGAACGTCCCCCAGCCACTCTTGTTGAAAAACATAAAAGGCAGCCAATGAG